GTTTACATGATACATCAAATCTCAAACTGGCTACATCTGCAAGTATTTTAACATTTCGACGGCACAGTCTAATCCCGTTCCGTATCAAACTATGCCAACACGCCGATAAGTCAAAAGGTCCTGTCTACCGGTTGGCGTTATACTTTACTAGGCGAACGTAGGCACAATCAATAGTCTTGGATGAGGTGCCCGTCATGGACTGTTCTTGCATGGGCTTAGTAGATACCTTGGACCACCAAGGTATCATTCCCAGAGCACGACTGAGATCCCCGATGCGCACTCCTTCGTCCATGTCCTTCAACACCTTGGGCCTGTGCACCTGAAACATGCTTCATCTAGGTTTAGCGTAGGATATGCAGGCACCACAACACACACCGTCCTTTGTAAGGGCATCAACGGAACAACGTATACGTCTTACAATGGATGAGGTGCCACATCCCGTGCATATGTCTCGTGAGTGAGGTGCCGAAATCCTGGACCCATCGGACCGATGTCTCTCCTCCTGCACACCAGATAAACGTCCCACACCTTTCATGGCCATCTGAAACACACCCAGTCGGCACGCCAACGATCCTCACCTCATATCCCATCGCCCTTGCCTCGGCCATTAGAACGACTCTGTAGTCAAATGTCGGTAACTCCAGCAGTATGACATCCTCGAGGCTTGTTGCGCTGTGATTTACGAGTCTGTAATCCGCTATTGACGTCATAAACCGGCGACCTTTGGCACGTGTAATGCTCGACTCCAACTCGTCCGGATACGTGGCGTATATGAGCCTCAGGTACATGAACGGTGTGGGTGCATCGGGTGTTATTGCAAGAGACGCACGGGCTTCTGAAATCGCGCGCGCCCTGTGCTGTCTAGGACTGCGCCTTCCACTACCCAGGAATGGGTCCAGAGACCTAAGAATCGTGGCCGCGCTAAGGGTCTGACCTCGTTGTGACATTATGGCACCCTGCACCTGCATTATGGCGTAGGCTATAGTGGGCTTAGACCGTATGAAATAACCCCGGGTGTTGCGCCGACGAGGCTCCAGCACGTCGCGCGCTTTACTACGCGTTGCGCTCATCATGCCACTACCAACTGAAATCGGTAACATTAGGCGGACGTTAGGGTTTTGTAAGTGTCCGTCCTACGGAAATCGAGGAACGGGCTGGTGGGACGATTGGAAGCGGTGTGGAATGGTTTGTGGATTGTTGGCACGCTTTCATGGTCAACAGGGTATACCGAGCAAAAAGTGCAAAATTACTTCGCGCGTTCTTCAGTATGTGCCATATCGGGGAGGTGAACATTTTACTCGCTCTCGGATTGAGCGTGGAATGTGCTATATCCCCAACGTGAACAATCTCGTTACGTAGACAATGAATGACAATGTGCGTATTATTCGACAAATACAACGGTTACTGAGATCAATAGGGCTCATCAGTTACTACATCCCATACTCAATATCCCCATGCACGCTAGATAGGGATGCCGTTGGGGAGTTGAAGCATATCTCCTCGCTGGCCGTGGAAGACATGGACGAGGAAGGCGCGTATGAATGCCTCCTAACCTTCTTCTCTGGTGTGCGCAGCAGACGGTCAACGAGGTCCGGGTTCCCCAAGCGCTTAAGCGTGACGACAACACTCGGAGCTACTCCCGCCGCGCTAGCAAGCCTTGTGTACGCATCAGATGCCATACGCATGAACCGACGGCGAGTCCTGTCGTCCCATTTGACGCGGCCGACACAGCTTGAATCATCAATCCGACGGATGACCGGCTCTGGAAAACGTTCGGCCGTATCCTCGTCCATGGTGTCATCCCAAGTTGCGTAGTCCAATGTATCCATCACGTAGTCGGGGATGTCCAACTGGTCCAGCCTCCTCTGCAGGCCTGTGAGGCTAACGACGAGCTGATCCACAACCTCGACATGCATGTCGCGGTTGATCGCCTGAAGCCGAGGCAGCCACTCGTCCGGGACGCACCCAGTGCGCCAAAACGCGAGCTGAATGTGAGATGTCGCCACCCCCCACAGTGCCTGGAATGTCCACTGCAACGTGTTCGCGGCCGATGGAGAGTTGCTGGTCCACACCCAAGCTGGAGGCACGCGCCTCATGAAGCGAGTCTGGTGGTCCACCCATATTGTGCGGAATTCGGACCTGAAGAATGTGACAATGCCCTGCACGACGGGGTTCCCCACGTCTGGTACAACATCATGAAGCTGCACAATGCGAGTACGGGTTAGGTGGTGCACCATGAAGGGCCCACTCGGCTCTCGCTTGCCCTCTCCCCAAGTGAGCTTGTGCCTCCGCGAGGACACAAGGACGACGATGTCACGGTCCTCTGCAAATTTCGCAACGTTGAGGCCTAGCATGAACTGCGTGAAAAGCTGCACGTAACAACAAAGAGAATCACAGTGACATATTTGTAGCACCACCGTATTGAGTCCATATATAGGAGACAATCGCACTAGTCATCTCTAGTACAATTGGCCATTACCTGGGGGGTTATGCGGCCGGACCGAGTACGGCGTATATATGCCCACTGGTCGTCGCTGACATCGTGGCCCAGCCTCAGTGGCTCCCGGTCGGCGCTCACAACAATGGGCCTGAAGCGATGCGCGCCGTCTGCGGAATAGAGAAGGCCGATAGACAGCCTCTTCATATCATTCCCATTGCGACCGACGAACGGATGCAGGTATGGCTGCAGAGCAGGTAGGAGAGAAGCCTCTACAAATATGTAGACGTCGCTGGGAGGTGCGCCAAGGCGAGACAAGAGATCCTTTAGAGCGGCCATGGAAGTAAAGTGGCGTCTGCTACAAATGGCGGCATATGATATAACCTGTAGGATTGGCGAGTACAGCCTCCAATGTACCTGCTAATTGACAATGAGTGAGTCTAGCGTGAGAAAAACGTCGGCGCAAGCTGGCCACTCCCTCTTTGCCCTTACAGGCGTGCATTGGCCACAGAAGCTACAGATTGCGCAATGACGTGGGTACACCTCATAGGCTACCACGGTTGTGCACTCTTTAAACCACATGTTTGTGCCCTGAAAGCTAATCTGTTATTGACATTTCCGTACCCTGTACAGTATATGCCCGGGTCAGTTGGGGTTCCGAGATAGTGTGCGCAGGAATGCGTACGTCGGTACACTGTTACAATGCATGGTATAGTTATACTGTTTAGGAACTATCTCGCCGCATCGCCCTGAACATCAATTTACATCATTTAATTTGGATGCTCCACTCGTCGTCGATACGTTCAGTGTTCGACAATAGTTCAATGGTGTAACTGAAACGAAGTCGAAATATACCCATCCGCGTCAAGGTGAGAGGCCGAAATGTTACGTCGCTGTTAATCGCATTTGGTTATGTTCATAACAGGACATTTGTCGTCCCGATAATGGCTGCACAATTGAGTTTATAAAGGTTCCGCGTAGTATCGCCGGTGCATGCTGACGAGGGTACAGTAATCTCGACTCAATTGCACTGTGACAAGTGTCAAATATGGCTGGAAACCGCTGCCAATCACGAACCGCCATGGTGGTATCCACTTTCTACAATCTCCTCTGTCCCTGAGTCTCCGTCGTCCGAGCAAATCAGATGTTTATCCCCGAAGATGCCTGGTGGAGTGTATAAACGCAACAATCGCACTACAAGCCCGACAGTTTAGTTCTTGCAACACTAGGGTTTCGGCGTTTCTCATGAACTCGCCATGGTACCGCGAACCAAAGCCCAGGCCTCTAAACGAGGCCTCCACAGTCCACAAGCCATGACATCGCGTAGGCCACCGGCAGCGCCGCGGCGGGATAACACCACGATCCCGGAATCGATGAGCAACAAGCGGCTCCAGCAGGGGGATACGAATACCGAGGCCGCAGTGGCCGCGTCGGTTTCAGCATAGGGCTCGCGGCTGCCATGCGTCAAAGATGAGCCCGCGCCGAATGGCGCGCTGATTGCTCTACTCAACGCACCATCTTCAACGACCTTTAAGACGGTGTCTCTGTATAACCACATGGGTGTGGGCTGTCAAGTGACTGCGCACGACGCATTGACGCTCGCCGACAAGGAATATCTGGGGGACGCGGTCGTCGATTTCCATAACATGTACGTTTTTGGATGGCGATACTCCTCAAGGTTGCTTTGTCGCCACCTACAGTATGCCGACTTTAACGTTTAAAATTTTATCGTGCGTTATCCATTCGCACCCGTGCAGCCTCCTGAACATCAGGTACCCAAGGTGTCCGAACGGGAAATCATGGGTGGTCCTTGACAGCAAGGCGTATGCGTATGCCAAGCTTCACAAAAAGCCGATTGGGAGGTGCACGGGCCCGTCTGTGTTTGAGTACGATTACATCGCCGTCCCGGTATATGCCGGGTAAGTACGTCTTTTGCAAGCCGCTGTAATAAGCTCGTCTATCGCCCCAGCCTAACAAAGGCCCCTCAATTGTGCAGGAAACACTACTCTTTGATGGTGGTAACCAACCCGAGCGGGATTGTAAGCCAGACGGCCGCACCTGTGGAGTTCATTCTGTTCGACAGTGACGGCCTCCACGCCAAGACAACTGATGCCTTTGACGGGACTAAAGCGTGAGACTCGCTATATATCACCGTGCAACCCCCTTTCAGCGGTGACGTCCTGCGACCTCATCTGACCTGTTGGCTATATCGTCGTGCAGGTTATTGCACCTCATGTGCAAACGCGATCATTCGGAGGTGGACCAGGAGGCGTCTAGGCAAGCGCTCATCAAGGCAGAAACGATAATCATGGAGGTGAGATGCTCCAAAGACAGTATGGCTCATTCTATCCCACTTGCTTTCTAATACGGGAGCGCGTTCTGATGAACGGAAACTTGGTGTCTCGATGGTGCGCAGGATCACCAGATCCCGAAACAACCTAACAGCTGGGACTGCGGAGTGTACATTTGCCAGTATCTCGAAGCACTGGTGACATCTGGGTTCATAACCGTGAGAGAGTACATATCGTTCAAGGGGGTGAGCGCTGAGAGGTACCGCCACAAGATGCGTGGGGATCTTTGTTCTCATGCCGAGGGAACGCTGATTCCCGAGCTGCAGCGCCAAGGTCTCCGCATACCTCTGCAGCCTGTTCCCGTTATCGACGACAACGGATACATCTGCGTCGACCCTCCCGTGGACATCCGAAGAGAGCTGCTAGACCACAAGGAGAAGTTCGCTGTGATTGAGCACGACATACAAGTTCTGACGGCCAAGATCGAGTATCTGGCCATCCGCAAAGGCGTGACGTCGGACGAGCTGGACGCAGGGGCGCGCCAACACCTTGGTGCCGTGGTGGACACGCTGGTAGAGTCGGCGACTCCACGCAAGCACGCTAAAGCAGACCCTACCGCGGACAGAAGTGGCCCAATGGAAGTCGCGCAGACTCCACCGAAGCGTGCACTGGCGGCAGTGCCATCAATCGCTCCCTGTCTTGCATCTCACACACCTGCCGTGAAAGATAGCCAAGTTACTGCCGGAGACGCGACACCTGCTGTGGTCAGGCAACAATAGCGCGACCATCTTGCAGTGGCTTTGCGCAGCCGCGCTAAGACTCCCGAGCCCGCAGCTCCAGGTAACCCCGGAAGGGTCGCAAGCAGCGGCCGGGTGGGAGTTATGTGGAACGCAGAGAAGCAAAGGTACTACGTCCCGATCATATCTGCTCGCCGTCAGCAGGTTCGTCTAGGGTCGTACGAGGACAAGGACGAGGCGTCATACGCGTATGCTGCGGGAGCCGTTGTACTTCGCCCGAACTCACGCATCAGCTGCACGGTTGAGCTGTCCGACGGTGACAGGCAGGCTTTAGCCGGCTGCACAGAGGAGATCCTAAGGCTACTCGTGAAGTACAGGCGCTGGAACAGATGGAGGGAGTGGCGTGCCGCAATGGCTGGCCTGAACGACGCGCAGGCGGTCGAGACCCGTTCGCGGCGAAAGGGCAGAGCGTCCCGGGCCAGTAGTGACATTGAGGAGGTGCAGGCGATCACGCAGACTACAGAGGACCAGCCTATGGCTGAAGAGCCAGAGGACCGAACAGAGGACTACACGGATGACGACGAGTCCGTTGACGATGATGCTGTGTATGAACCTGGAAACGATACTTTCGGCGAAGATGATGGATGGGAGGATGTCAACCGTGCAGAGGGTGTTGCATGAAGCACTAAACAAGGTGGCCATTGGACCCGGGGTTGTTCTAGTTGTGTGCTCATACTGATAGGACTTAGACCTGGTGGCGGGTAGCCGAATCTGGAAATGTAAGCATCGCAGCGACCACGGTTTTGAACTGTCTATATCCAGGAGATGTAAATATATGACAAAGAACGCTTAAACGATGCACATCTTGAAACTGTAACTACGGTTGGGGGTAGTAGCAAATGGTGAAAAAAGTGGGTGTATAATTGGAGTAACGCATCTGACAGAAACGAGGACGAGCATCGACGATGTGACAAACCTGGCACGGCGACATGTTACATGTGGAAAGTGTGGCTGACATTTGTCTGCAATCAAACTGGCCACTCTAGCCGTGACATGTGTAGAATTGTGCGCGTGGCCAAGAGCGTGAGGCAACTAGTGCGGTGACAAACTCCGTTATCGAGCATTGCCATGTACAAGAGAGTGGTAAGGGGACTGTTGCGAGCGAGGGTAGAACCCCGAGTGGTTTAGAGCTACGCCATTTCGGACCCGATATGTATGCGGTCTAAGATGCTGTCTCCGCTAGAGGTCGATATGACTCCCACCGACGGCGGTCGTTCCAAGCGGGCGAAGACTGCGCCGTCATGGTTAGCTGATTCATATGAATACGGGGAGCGGAAGAAGAAAGGATGACCCCTAGCGGAACCCAAGAGGCGTAAAACAAGCACAGGAAAATGTGGCGCGGCAGATAAGAACGTGGGGCATGACAAAGGTAACATTTGTGACGTGACAAGTGCGTTGCATTTCATGTATCAGTGCTAATGCTTGTCTGTGGTGATATATGCCGTATGCACACGCAATCTACACACCCTTCTACCTACCACGCAACTAGTCACAGAGACTCGAGAAGTGCCGCTGCAGATATGCAGTGCCAACGCTGTCAGGGCCGTCGACGCGGAGGCAGCCTGCACGCCCATTGTCGCCAACGCACCGCAAGGGGAGGAGGACACGGAGGCCGTGAAGGAACACCTGATAGACGAGTTAATGGAAGGCAAAGATGAGGACGACGAGGAAGGAAACGGTGGTGGTCAGTCGTCAAGCAACGATCCGTGTGGCGAGAACGGATCAGAGGAGGAGCAGGCCACAAAAGTGCCACATTCGAGGAAGCGGATAGATGCAGCCGATGGCCAAGTCACACGCGTGGAATTTGATGCGTTGCGTGATTCCCAGATTGATACCGCAAAGACACTGGCTCGTCTTGAGTCACACGTACTGACCATCATCCGCCTTCGCGAACGGCGTAAGCGCAAGCGGGCGTCCACAAGTGCCGCAGCTTCACTCGGCCGGGAAGCTTTGAAGCGGAAACGCCAGTCAGATGATGACGAAGAATCCACGTGCGATGAGGACGACTTGCCGGCGAAAGTGGCACGGCACGCGCGTCACGACAAGTCGTCAGTGCTCCAAACCGCCCTTGACATCCTTCCAGCGGAGAAGGCTTGGAAGGTGAGGCCTCGCATAGTGTGTTCTGCTCACGTCGAGGCACAGTTGTTGGATACACTACATATCTCGTCACCGTTTCCCCCCCCCCCGTACAACTATTTTCAATGTCGCAGGGTGTTTGCGACATGGTTAAGGATTATCTGTTTGTAGAAGCCCCGAACGAGAAGATGGACTTCTACCCGAGTCGCGACGCCAAAAACGCGGGCCTATGCCATGTCGTGTCCACCATTTCTCCCAAAACTGCGACTCTGGCGTTAGACGCTGATAAGGCTCGACGACAAGATCTGAACAAGACCTTGTCCAAGTACAAAACAGGGTTAGCTGGACGCGCTCGCGGAGTTTTTCTTCCACGAATTGGTCTTTTCCATGATGACGAGGACAGGGCCAGTCCTTGGGCATGTAAGACGGAGCACAGTGGGGAGCGTGCCCGAAAGAGATATTGCGTCCCCGTCCCAGACGATGGTGCGTGTTCGCTTGTCATATGGCCGGAGTGGCTATGGCCGCAACTCCTGTGTCGTGCCATAGTGGACCAGACATGTCTTTGAACCCTCCCCTTTTTCCGTACGCGGTATCGTTGTACCCCTTTTGCATTCCACGTGCGCAGGGGACCCGACCTTGTGCAAGTGGCACATCAGCAAGGATGGACTGCCATTTGCATCCGGAGCGTTCGCGGCATGTGCCATCGCGGCTTTCGGAGGGAAGCGGAAGGACAAAGAAACAACTATAAAGCTGTACCACCTGTTGTAGCCACTTTCCTTCAAGTCGCCGTTGTAAATGGGCTTCTCCTGCCTTCGCAGATCACGTACGCCATTGTCAACTGGGAGAAGCGCAAGGGGAAACTGCACAACTCTCCGTGCGAGAATGGCGCTTCTGTGCGGAGGATTCAGAAGTTGGCCTTCGATGCCATTGCGGATGCAGTATGCCGGAATGAAGTGCCCTACGACGAGGAGAAGAAGTCCTGGAAGTGGGGCAGGCATGGGCTCCGCCTTTCATCTTGCGACCTGGAATGCCTCCTGGAAGATGAAGCAGCCTCCGAAGACGAAAAACATGAGTCCTCCGCGTCCGAAGCATCGGATAGTGAAACAGATGGTTGACGTCCTGATTGTGTGTTTAATCCAATTGTGTGTCGTAGACTAGTGTAGTGGTTTAGTGGGGACAGGTTGTGGTTGTGGTTGGTTCAGTGCATTTGTGCAGTAAATCGGTGACATATATGTTCGATATTGCACACCTAGCGGAGACCTTGCGCATGTTGGACACGAGGATGGTTGAAACGCAACTCTCAGCATTCCGCGCAGTTGGCGACAAATGCGGCGCTAATCGCGGCGACAAATGCGGCGGGGTAAATAGGAGCCGTTAGATGTAACGCTATTCTAGCGACGTGGATAGAGGGCAACCGTACAATCTGCCGAACCGCTCATCAATGAACCGCGGCTTTTTTGTTTGCCCGACACACGTGTCTAATGGCTATTTGCCACGTGTGTGATGGATATGGTCACTGGTGTGTTATCGTGAGATCGGCGACGATTACGTGTGAACGTGCGATTGGTATCACTAGTCCTAGTTGGAAAACCCTATCACCGAACGGACGGCGTGTGTAGGTACAGGTGGATTCCACTACAAATCGTGGGATGACATTTGTATCGGACGGACGGTAGAGATGAGGCGTATGGGCGTGAGATCTGGAGGTTGTCGGCGTATCCGGTGCGGCCATGTGCCGTGCTGCGGTTGGCATAGCGGAGTTGGCACGCGACAATCGCGTGCGTACAACTGTGGCCATCTCGACCGTACATGCGGCACGATACGATTCGTTATGGTTTGGCATCCACCTGTCATAAAGCGTGATTACACGTGTAAATGTTATGCTGACGTGGAATAGTGACTTCATGTATGCTAATCGGCAGCTATGTGGCAACACACAGGTGTAACCGTGGAGTGTCCGCATGGTGACGCAAATGTCACTGGCAGCTACATGACGTAGAAGCGACCCATATGAGGCCGTGCGTGTTGCGGCCATGTTGCCGGAAACGTTGCCAAAAAGCTGCGGGAAAGTTGCGGGAAAACCACTTTCCCTGTAACCCTGACCCAGAAGCCTTTGACCTAGACTTTTTTTTTGCGAAACAAGATTTGCAGAAAAGCAACTTTGAAGCTGCGGGGAAGCAACTTTATGTGCTTGGTTTTTTCTTGATGTCCAAGTTCTCCACCGCGGCATCCTTCCGCTTGGGACTGCCCCTACCTATGCCAAGACGCTGAAACTGCAGATACCGCACCACCTTCCCGGACGACCGCCTGCCGAACCACTTAATGCGGTGTGAGAAAGGGGGGGGGGGAATCGGCACTCACAATGCCTTGCGAGATGAGTGCGCGAAGATAGCGGCTGAAGCGGGATTCACGGTGCACAAGGAGACAATAGCATACTCACTGGCGGAAAACCTCAATGCGGATATTTCTATCCGCCATCCCGACACCGGCGCAATGTGGAGTGGCGGAAGAGGAAGAAGCAGACTCACCCTTAAGTTCGAATGCTTCGAAGGAGGCCCAGTCACAAACTCCAGCTCGGCAGAGAATCAGCTCAACCCACGCCCGGAGCGCAGCAACAAATATCAGAAACACACCCACCCAGCCGCGACTCTCACCCACCCACCCAGCAACAAATATCGATGAGATGGGGTGGGATGGGATGGGATGGAATTGGATGGAATGGGATGGAATGGGATGGAATGGGATGGGATGGGATGGGATGGGATGGGATGGGCTGGGATTGGATGGGATGGGATGGGATGGGATGGGATGGGATGGGATGGGATGGGATGGGATGGGATGGGGTGGGATGGGATGGGATGGGATGGATGGGAGGGGATGGGGTGGGATGGGATGGGATGGAATGGGATGGGATGGGATGGGATGGGGTGGGATGGGATGGGGTAGGGTGGGGTGGTTTGGGATGGGATGGGATGGGATGGGACGGAGCGGGAGGGGAGGGAGGAGTTGAGACGAGATGGGATGGGATGGTATGAGGCCAGCGCTATTGGAGGAAGAGGTGGAGATGGTTTGGTGCATGTGCTGGTGGTGGCCGCACTGAATGGCCGCTGGGGAGGTGCAGCTGGGGAGGTGCGCTGTCACACCACACTGCCTGCCCCATGCTCCCAGCACTGCTGCACACCACAACACCCTGCCCCCACGGATTCCCCGTGACTCGCACTCACTTTCTCATTCGCTCAATCTCCTCGCAGTCCTCTACCATCTTCTCCTCCAATCGTCTCGTCCGTCACACCCATCCACTGTTCGTTTCCCCCCCCCCATTCATCCACCCATGCCCCTCACCAGGAGCGGGACCTTGCAACGATGGATGCGCGGCACGGAGTGACCATGTTTCGAAAGCTCAATGTGTTGGTGGGAGATGGGGTGGTGGGTGATGGGGTGGTGGGGTGGTGGGAGACGGGGTGGTGGGGTGGTGGGAGACGGGGTGGTGGGATGGTGGGTGATGGGGTGGTCGTGGGATGGTTGGTGTTGGGGTGATGGGATGGTGGGATAGTGTGCGTAGGAGCCATGTATCAGCAATTGAATGTACCTGTGGACTTTTCATGCACTAGTGACCTGCTGCCTCACTTGTTTAGAGAAACTGCTGCACGTTCAATTCAGAAGCGATTTCAGATCACCTGCCTTCCTGTGACCACCCCCCCTCGTGTCCCTCTTAGTGGGTTCCATGAATTGCATGCAGGTGCTCGGTAAAGCGTGCACATCCCACTTCATCATCTCGTCTCCCTCCTGTCCTTCCATGACTTCTCTTTCGTTTCAGGCGCTGGGGATGGTGGCGAGCATGAGTTACTTCACCTGCTCGGCCTGCTCCAACTGCGCCACCATCATCGGCCATGGAGGCGCCCACCACGCTGCTGCTCACCTGCCCGGCCTGCTCCAACCACGCTGCTGGATCAGCTTCCTCGCATGGCAAAGATGGGTTGCTAACACAGGTGGGTTCTGGACATTTACAGAGTAGTTTTCATAATTCTCAAAATTTCCTACTTTGTTCATGTGAGAGGTGGGTGAGCTTCCTCGCACACGCATGTAAAAAATGTATCTGTGCTTGACCCCCTGCCCTGCCTCTATTGCTTTTGTCTTTTTCCTCGCATCCATAATCTTCCTTCCACTCTTGGCCCCCTTCCCTCCTGCACCCATCCCCTATTCTCACTCCATATCTCCTTTCCTTTCACCTTTCCTCATTGCTTCGTTGCTTCCCCTCCCCCCTGCCCCTCTCCCTCTCCCATGTGCCTTTCTTGCCCTCCATCTGCAGTCGCTTCAAAAGCGGCCGCCCCGTTGCTCTCGGCGTCTATACGGCTGCTGAAGAGAAGGTGGGGTAGATGTCGACGGCTTGGGAGACGGTAGGGCGCCAGAAGGGAGGGGAGCAGCAGAGGAAAGGGCAGACAGTGGGAGTGGTGGGGCAGAAGCAGCACTGATGGCGACATATGACCGCATGGCGAGGACAGTGTGGGAGAAACTGGAGGAGCAATCACAGGCACGTGGAGCTGCACAAGGGCCAGCTACTGTCTGACTTGAAAACGGTTGGATGTTGTTGAATGGGACATTTTTTGTATATGCCTTGTACCAATTGAAGTCTAGTTGCAGAATGGCGCTTCGCGCGTGCAATCGGTGAAGCACAGACGGGTGGTGTACTCCCAGCCGTCCACTCCCCGCGCTCCCCACGTTTGGCCTCTTCGATGGCTCCGCGTGCACTCTGCAGGTTGTGTGCATGCGCCAATGGAGCCGCACTGCCGCGTGCGCCTCGCATGGCAACGTTAGCGGGATGCGCGAGGTGCACTCGACACACGAACTCAACAGACGCAACATGATCAGGCGAGAAGCGAGGAGCAGCTCCGCCATGAAACTGTCCCCGCTCCCCGCACTCCCCCCACTCCCCCCACTCCCCGCTGCACTCCCAGCCGCACTACCCGCTCCTCACCCTGCTCGCCGCGCTCCCCCCTCCGCACTGCGGCTTTAGTCAAATGCGCTGGAACCCTGGCGCATATGCAATCTCTGGTTCCAGAAAAGGCAGCAGCGCAAGCACGGACTGCTTTTCTGCCCATTCCAGCGATTATGTCCATTAGCTGATGGGAGGTTGGTGAGGAAGGCGGGTGGGAGGGAAGGGGGGAGGGGAATACTACCATCCCCACCCACCCTCTTCCCTCCCCCCTTGCAGCCCCGTTGGTCGCTGCTCCTTCTCCCCATCCTCCTGTTCTCACGTCTCTACTCCCCCCTATTCGTCCTCCCTCTCGACCCCGCTTCTGTCCGCGCAATCATGCACGCAGCCAATGAGGCGGAGCCCTGCCGATACGAGTCTGCCTTGCTTTAGAACAAGCACGGCAGCCCGTTGGAGCACATCATGATCGCTCCTCCACCCGTCTCTCCTTCTTCCCTGCCCCACCTCCCCCCCAATTGCCATTCGCCCTCCTGGCCTTGCCTCCTTGCCGTTCCCACCCCTCTGTGCCCACCGGGTAGGCATGTCAGGCGCGAGCAGGGACGTCCTTCTCCCTCTCGCACCCATCCAGTGTGCCTTGGTGCCCTGCTTTCATACGCCTTCCCCACCCCCGCGCATCCTTCCTTCCTGTCCTCTCTGGCCGCTCCTAGAAGCACCTCCTGCCCACTGGCGCTAACAGCGCATGATAGTGCACACGAGGCACGACCTGCCGAGTCGCTGAGGCAGGAAGAACAGCTGAGGGCAAGCCAAGGAGGCAGCAGAGGCGGCAAGCAACAGCACCAGCATTGTGCTCAGGAACAAGAACCACGCCCCCATGCATGGTGGCCAGGTGGGTGCATGGGTGGGTTCCATGCATGCATGTGCATGGTACGTGCGCCGCGGTGTGATGGTTTAGCTATGCATGGTGTGCGCTTGGTGTGTGCATGTATGCAGTGCATGTTTTTGGCATGTGTTCACTCTGTTTCCCTCCCCAGCCAGCCACGGAGTGGCGGAGCTGCTCCCAAACACGCCTCTCACACGCAAGCAGCGTGCATACGTGATGGAGGATCATCATCCGCACGTCGCGGGGGACAACGTCCTCAAAATCAGCTCTGGTGTGCTTTTGAGGCGCCTCAAAATTTGCGGGTAGAGAGGCGCCTGTTTAGACGCCTCAAATGTTGGACCTGTTTAAAATCGAGAGCCAGTGCCTTTCTACCTCCCCACAAGCGTCAACGAGGTCATGGCTCTGATCAAAATTGTTGCAGCAGGGAGGGCCTTCAGGTGAATGTGAATGGGGTTTGATGGGTGGCGGGATCAAGGAGCAGTGTTGAGCAGCAATGTTGGCTACATGATGTGTTGCATCTGTAGTTGTGATTCGTGAGTCCCCTGTTGAGACAGATTTCGTGTACTGTTCATGTGAGTGTGAGTGTGAGCAGCACTGGTGGGCAGCATCAGTCTTACTTTCCAAGTTTTCGTTCCCCTTTTCTTACTCTTATTTTCTTGGCTCAACTCCCCCCGCCCCGCCCAGCTAGTCTGCCACATCGACTCGCAGATGTCTCACCTCATCTCTCGTGTCCTCTTGTGACCTTCTCCCACTCCCTTTCACCCAGCAACTCAACAGCTGCATCAACTCAACTGCAACGACTCTTTTGTGGCCATCCAAGAATCATTCGCTCCTGGAGTTATGCTGAGTCAAACTCCGATGGGAAAACCACTTTGGATGTGATAGAGTGGTTTGTCAGAGTGGTGCGGCCTAACACGTCGGTGCACAGCTCAGCATGGGAATACGTAATGGAAGAAAAGATAGTAAATTAAGACTCTGTGAATGCTGAGGTTAGTGCAAGGAGAATTCCATGTTCAGGAGAACATAAGGTTAGAAGTATAGATTCCACTAATTCCTCATGTGAAACATTTGCGTCGAGAAAAGAGGTGTAGGTACTTTTCAAGTCAAAAACATTTCAGATCCGATGTATTTTTTTATATCACCGGTACCGTATTTTATATCCATGGGGTCCACTCCACTGTATGGGTGTTTACAGTGATGAAAAATGAATATTTTTAATGAGTTGTAAGAAAGCAAGCTTTTTAAATCTGGAACATGGTAAGCTCTGCAACTTGAAATGAGACGATGCCATTGCTACATGAAAGAAAGCAAGCTTTCTAAATCTGAAACATTGTAAGCTGTGCAACTGTACCAGCACTAGTCACGGGAAAAAACCAGTCAACGAAACTCGATACTCATGGCCGACCAGAGGATCAATAGTATTAGTCATCCCGTGGTCCCCATTCGAAATAAATTCCTGTTCCATACCAGTCCGCATTCCTGTCTGCATTCCTGCCAGCACTCCTGTAAGCACGGTCTACATTAGCCACCCCGCACTTGGACAGATCCACATGCCTAAGCGCCTTGGCCTGTCTGAGCGAATCTGGCAGAGTCCTGAGTGCCTCACATTCCCGTAGAAGCAGCACCTCTAGGCGCGGTAGCAGGCCCATGTCCGCAGGCAGGGACTGCAGGCGCGGGCAGCAGCTGAAGCTGGCCACACGGAGAGACGGCAGGCAGGGGAAGGAGGCGGGCAGGTGAGTGAAGGAGTCACAGTAGGTGATCGCCAGCCGGGCCAGTCGGGGCAGAGAGCCAAAGCCATCAGGAAGGGTGGAAGGCTTGGAGCAATTTGTGATGGCGAGGTGGACGAGGGAGGCGAGCGAGGAGAAGGAGTCGGGAAGGCTTTGCAAGCGAGAGCAGGAGTGGATGGAGAGGCGTTGGAGGGCGCCTAGGGAGCCGAAATCAGCAGACAGGGTGACAAGACAGTCGCTGCCGGTGATGGTGAGTGTGTGGAGGCGAGGGAGGAGGCAGAAGGAGGGAGGCAGGCTGGCAAGGACTGGAGACTTCAGAGATGCTTCTCGCAGGGAGGTCAGGCCGCCGAGGGTGTCTGGCAGAGAGGAAAACGAACCCTCGATAGTCACCCTCGTTAGTGCCCCAAGGGATCCTAACCCTTGTGGTAAATGCTCCAAGTGATTGCACCGTTCAGGCTGCGGCTCTTCTCCTCTAGCCATCCTGGCTAACATGCTCATATATGGCGAAGCTTCCTTACCCGACACGCGCCCTTTCAGCTCCAGCGACTCCAGCGATGCCAGCTCGCCGATGTTCTCGGGAATGAAGGGCTCAGATTGTGGAAGGTGGGCGCTCCTCGTGATGCGCAATATTTTTAGTGCGAGCAGGCGGGCGAGGTGAGGAAGGGGAGAGGGAATGAAAACGTCTGTGAGGTGAAGCTCGGTGAGGGAGGTGAGGTGGGAGATGAACGAGGGCAGTGCGAGGCGCGGAGTGGGGCGCTTGCCTTCCTGCTGTCGCTGTCGCTGCCGCTGCTGCTGCTGCTGCTGCTGCTGCTGCTGCTGCTGTTCATCTTCCACCTCACCTCCCTCACTAGGGCAGTCTGAGGCGCCGCTGCCGCCGCCGCCGCCGCTGCCGCCGCCGCCGCCGCTGCCGCTGCTGTTGTTGGTGCCTCTGCTGGTGCTGGCAGTGGAGGAAGAGTTGTACTCCAGCGATAAGAACTGGAGGGATGGGGCGAGGAGAGAGAGGGAGTCAGGGAGGCAGAGGAAGCAGCCGGAGAGGGAGAGATTGCGGAGGTTGGTGAGGCAGCCAAAGGCAGCCATCACGAGACTTCTAGGCTTGAGATCGGTGATGGAGAGGTGCGTGAGCGAGCAGAGGGACCAGAGGTGGGCGGATAGGTAGCTGCCTTGTGGGCACTTTTCACCTAAGCTCAATTCTAGGTGCTGCAACGAGGGGCCGAGAGGCGAGCACCCGGATTGAGCGGCGGCAGTGGCGGCGGCGGTGGCGGCTGCAGCGGCAGCAGCAGCAGCAGTGGCAGAAGCAGCAGCAGCCCTAGCAGCGGCAGCAGCAAGAGCAGCAGCAGCAGGAGGAGCGGCAGCTGCAGCAGCGGCGGCGGCAGAGGCATCGGCAGCGGCAGCAGTTTCCGAAGCGAGGGCTAGAGGCAGATAGGCCAGCAGAGACCCTTTGGGCGCGTCGCCCTGCTCCACCCACGCCACCCTGTCCACACTCACGTGCGCCAGCGACGGCAACGCCAACAAGCCCACTGGAAATTCCTCCTTCCCAGTAATGATGGGCCGGAAAAGGGCTTTAACCGAGACCTTAAGTCGTTGGAGGGAGGTGAGTCGACTGAGAGGGTGGAGCGGTAAATTGTCGAACGCCAGGACTTCCTCAAGAGTCAAGAGACGCAACGGTGAGGTTCGAACGACGTCATCTAAGGGGAGCGACTTGAAATTGTCGCAGGAGCGAACAGTGAGGCGCTTTAGGGTTTCCAGCCACGCAGGCGGGAAAGAGCGCACGCTGCATTGCTCCAGCGAAAGCTCTTCCAGCCTCGTCCACGCTTCGCACCCGTCTGGCCAGTCGAGGCTGTCGTAGCGTCGCAGCTGCAGGCGCCGCAGCTGCTGCAGCGCGGTGATGCTACACGGGAGTCGCCCGCACGGGAAGGCTATGCAGAGCGAGGTGAGCGACGAGAGGTCGCCCAGAGAATCGGGCAGGCTGCGCGCGCCGTTCATGCTGTCGACGATGGAGAGGCGCGTCAAAGCTTTCAGCTGCCCGAAGTCCTCGGGCACATCCCACAGCATCGAGCAGCTGAACTGCAGTTCCTGGAGCGCGGGCAGATTGCACAGTCCGTCCGGGAGCTGTTGGATCGTGTTGGAGCGGAGGCGAAGCACGCGCAGCGACGACAGCGACGAAATGGAATCGAGAAGCTTCCTGGCCTCGTAAGGAAGCAGCAGCGCGAGCTCCTGTAACTGCGGCGCTGCAGCGCGGAAGAGTGAGTTGAGCGATGCGAAGCTGATGGTGAAGGGCGGCGGTGCGGCGGTGAAACGAGGATCGCCGAGGCTCAAGCAGGTCAGCTTGGGACAGGCGGCGAGCAGCGAGATAATAAAGCTATCGTCGTAGAAATCGACGGCGCCGTCGCCCAGCAAGAGGGAAGTCACGCTCGGCGCGCGGGACAGCAAGCGGAGGAGCGCGGGCGCGGAGAGCGTGGGGACGGGGAGCGGCGAGTCGTCGTGACAGTAACAGTCCTCCCGACGAGGTGGAGAGTCGGCAGGAGCGCTGATGCGCACGAAGGGCAGCAGCGAGGCCCATCGCTTCGACACCATTCCCAAGCCATGGCACGGGCTGACATCGGAATCGACGATGGGCTCCGCGTCGCTCGCGGCAGCGGCGACTGGATATTCCACAACATCACGTATTTATGCAAGAAACAAGGGATCCTATTTCTGAAAGAGAAGGTGAAGTTCTGACAAGCATTTATGTAATAAATGAAACAGAGTACACTACAGGAAGCGTTTAATGAGAAATTTATGTAATAAATTGTATTGATGTCAAGTATTATAATAACATGCATTGTGCTATGTTCCCAATCAGCTTTAAATTCGTGCAATTTGAATGTAAAAACTGTTGTGAACTACAGAGAAAACAGATTTTTCTGTTTGCTGTTTGATTGTGCAGGGGCTACAAAACTATCTAGGTCAATCCAATCTCACTGCGGCTGATACTAAAATGAAAGGACACGTACGTGGAGTCAATGTCCAGCACATCAATTGCCTAGATATCCAGGTGTCACGCTCCCGGTCACGTACGCATGATCCCTAAAACAGCGCACACGGTTCTGCCTGTCGGCGGACGCGGTGGTGATGAGCATGTCGAAGCGCACAATTGAGCACTTCGGACCGCACATTTCCCAGTCATTCAAGGACATCCACCTGAAGCAAGATTTGGTTTTACTCCTGAGAATCCAACTCGTCCTTCCTACCAACTACCCTACCCGACATTTCTCCAATATCCATGCATGAGCAAGCATCTCCAGCTATGAGAACTCGCGACGTGGAGTTTAGGAGGAGGTGAGCCACACAGCTTCTAGAGCACAGTCGAAACTCCAGAGAGTTTTAGGAGCGCATGGCGATAATGACGGCTCTTCAAATGCGAGCGAAGGATCCGACGCTCCCAAGCATCACATTTTTGTCGAATTTTTTTAGCAGCTCTCGCCTTAAATCCACGAGTTTCAGCTTCACTCCGCGAGGTCGTAACGCGTTAAAAAAAGAAATATATGTCCCTTCCCGTAAACGATCGCAAGACTACTAGTCACGCCACAGCTGCTGTACTCGCACGAACAATGGAGCAACCGACTTTACTAGGTGTGACCACGTCGACAGTGGATGTACCGACTATATCGTCGTGGGCGGCAAAGTCGACGTCTATTTGGAGCGCTTTGAGAACATTTCTGGCGCTGCGGGCGCGAACATTGAAGAGACTCGCGCGAGCGTTCTTGGCTGCAGATTTGGCTCCCCACGACGGTTTCGGGTTACCTGTTTCGCTCACGACGCGCATCGTCACGATGATGATGAAGCGATGGACGCGGCATGGACATCGGACGTGTCCTTATCTGGAACATGCAAGCCCTGTCAGAATATATTTGCTGTCTAGCCTGCAGTGGGGTACTCTGTAATGAGTACAACCCAATTTGGGGCTTTGTACTTGTATCCCAACTCTTGCTAGTGAAATCACTTCCCTTCCAATTTCTCGATACTCTCCCCTAGGAGAAACCCCACTCGAACTCACCTTGCCTACCTCCTAGTGTGGGCCTAGGCTACTAAGCCTAGGCCCCACCTTCTACTATTTTCACATGTTATCAGAGCCCGTTCTACCTTGGCCTGTGGGCCCCTATACTTCCGCTGCAGTCCTTCTTCCTGCCGCGCGCTCCGCGCGGCGAAATTTTTTTAGGGTTTCGGAGTTTTTCATCCCGCCGTGCGCTCGGGGCGCGCGGCGGTTTTCCCGTCTGTCGAAGCGCCCTCGGGGGGCCTGCGCGCTGCCCTCCCCGCTGCTCGTCGCGACGCCCGTGCGGGACCCGCGCGGCGTCGCCCTGCTCGTCGCGACGTCCGTGCGGGACCCGCGGGGCGTCGCCCCTGCTCGTCGCGACGTCCGTGCGGGACCCGCGCGGTGCCGCCCTACTTGTCGCGACATCCGTGCGGGACCCGCGGGGCGTCGCCCCTGCTCGTCGCGGCGTTCGTGCAGGATCCGCGGGGCGCCGTCAGAGCCAGCAGCAACCGCCGCCAGAGCCTACAACAGCGGCCGCCACCACCCAGCAGCAGCAGCCGCCGCCAGGCCTGCAGCAGCTGCTGCCACCGCGCCTGCAGCAGCAGCTGCCGCCGCTCTGCAGCAGCAGCCGCCGCTCTACCAGCAGCAGCAGCCGCCGCCACTCTGCAGCAGCAACCGCCGCCGCCCAGCAGCAGCAGCTACCGCCAGAGCCTGCAGCAGCAGCCCCTGGAGCCGCCACTGCAGCAGCAGCCCCAGGAACGGCCACCCCTGCAGCAGCAGCCCCTGGAGCCGCCACTGCAGCAGCAGCCCATGGAGCAGCCGCCCCAGCAGCAGCCGCCCCTGGAGCCGTCACTGCAGCAGCCGCTCCTGCAGCAGCAGCCCCAGGTGCAGCCGCCCCAGCAGCAGCCGCCCCTGGACCCGGTACGCCCTTTGCTGCCCGTGCCTGTGCTGCCCGTGCCTGTGCTGCCCATGCCTGTTGCTGCCTGTGCCTGTGCTGCCTGTGCCTGTGCTGCCCGTGCCTGTGCTGCCCGTGCCTGTGCTGCCCGTGCCTGTGCTGCCCGTGCCTGTTGCTGCCCGTGCCTGTGCTGCCCGTGCCTGTTGCTGCCCGTGCCTGTGCTGCCCGTGCCTGTGCTGCCCGTGCCTGTTGCTGCCCGTGCTTGTGCTGCCCGTGCCTGTTGCTGCCCGTGCCTGTGCTGCCTGTGCCTGTTGCTGCCTGTGCCTGTGCTGCCCGTGCCTGTGCTGCCCGTGCCTGTGCTGCCCGTGCCTGTGCTGCCCGTGCCTGTGCTGCCCGTGCCTGTTGCTGCCCGTGCCTGTGCTGCCCGTGCCTGTGCTGCCCGTGCCTGTGCTGCCCGTGCCTGTGCTGCCCGTGCCTGTGCTGCCCGTGCCTGTTGCTGCCCGTGCCTGTGCTGCCTGTGCCTGTGCTGCCCGTGCCTGTGCTGCCCGTGCCTGTGCTGCCCGTGCCTGTTGCTGCTCGTGCCTGTTGCTGCCCGTGCCTGTGCTGCCCGTGCCTGTGCTGCCCGTGCCTGTTGCTGCCCGTGCCTGTGCTGCCCGTGCCTGTGCTGCCCGTGCTTGTGCTGCCCGTGCCTGTGCTGCCTGTGCCTGTTGCTGCCCGTGCCTGTGCTGCCCGTGCCTGTGCTGCCCGTGCCTGTGCTGCCTGTGCTGCCCGTGCCTGTGCTGCCCGTGCCTGTGCTGCCCGTGCCTGTTGCTGCCCGTGCCTCGTGCTCGCGCCCTCGTGCGCTCTGCTACTGTCTGCGCCCTCGTGCGCACTGTTCCCCCCCCCCCCCGTTTGCGGGTGTGGGGGTGCTCCGTTTGTGTTGCCCCTTCCTTCTCCTCCTCCGTCGTCTCCCACTGCTGCAGCTGTCGCTGAGGGGGGTGGTTGTGTGGGAGACTGGGGTTTAGGGTTTAAGGGGGGTGCGTGGGAGTGGAGCTAGGGGTGTAGCAGCGGGTGTGTGTCAGGGGGGTGGAACTGTTTGTGGGAGGTTGAGCGGAGGCTGCCGTCTTGTAGTCCGCAGCACCTGTAGTCCGGGGCGCTGTCCTGGTAGCCCAGTGAGCCTACTACGCCTGTCGCCCGTGGGTCCGTTGCTCCTGCCGCTCTTCGTAGCCGCCGAGCCAGTTACTCCAGTAGTCCGGGGCGCTATCCCGGTAGCCACTGTGCCAGCCGCTCCTGTTGCCCGTGTGTCTGCAGCTTCAGCAGTCGCCTCCCATCTCCTCTTCTCTCACTCTCCCTCCTCCTCCTCACTTGCCCATTGTGACCACCACTAGCTTTGCAGATAATTGTGCACTTTAACTATTGCTTCTTTAACTTGTGCTCAGAATGTGTGGTGACATTGTGATCCACCCTGAGCTTGTACTACTTTGCCTGCTCTGCTGATTACACCCCACTTTGGCTATGGGGGTGTGTCAGAATATATTTGCTGTCTAGCCTGCAGTGGGGTACTCTGTAATGAGTACAACCCAATTTGGGGCTTTGTACTTGTATCCCAACTCTTGCTAGTGAAATCACTTCCCTTCCAATTTCTCGATACTCTCCCCTAGGAGAAACCCCACTCGAACTCACCTTGCCTACCTCCTAGTGTGGGCCTAGGCTACTAAGCCTAGGCCCCACCTTCTACTATTTTCACAAGCCCGAGAGCTTGAATGTTGCTGTCAACTGTCATCAGCATAGTACGAGGCGACTCCAGGTCCTAGGAGTTAGGAATGGGACGCCTTTGCGGAGGCAAAAAGAGGACTATGGCGGCCGTAGTGAAGTTTCATACTCCAAATCTCCAGATTCAGAACAGCGAAGTCAGCTTGTTCCAACAAAACTTTTATCTCCCTGATCAGACTTACATGTTCAGAGTCGATGGATAGCATTATAAGCATGTGTGGATAAGATTTTCCACAACTTACATAGCATACACTCATTTCTGCAAGAAATGGCATCACAATATTGAAGGAACAGTAGCGAGTATTCTGGTTAAGGATTCCAGGAATGGTTTCTCACCGTTTTCCCTCCCCGCCCCTCACCACCGCACAGGCGCATACACAACCCTCTTCAATCTTTGAACACCGCGTAAACTCACACGCACACACACACAACACACACACACACACACACACACGCACACACACACACACAGACACACACACAGACACACACACACACACACACACACACACACACACACACACACACACACACACACACCACACACACACACACACCACACACACACACACACACACACACACACACACACACACACACACACACACACACACACACACACACACACACACACACACACACACACACACACACACACACACACACACACACACACACACACACACACACACACACACACACACACACACACACACACACACACACACACACACACACACACACACACACACACACACACACACACACACACACACACACACACACACACACACACACACACACACACACACACACACACACACACACACACACACACACACACACACACACACACACACACACACACACACACACACACACACACACACACACACACACACACACACACACACA